CTCCTCCTCATCGTCTTCCTCCTCTTCTTCATCACCAGTGTCTTCATCAGACACGTCACCCTCCTCTGCATCAGGATCTAGGTTTGCTGGCAGCTTTTTTCCCTGGAAAACGAGAATTAATGAGTATTATCGGTCCATGTGTGATCCTGGTGTGTTTTGTGTGCTGCATATCTTTACTAGCACTTTGTTGGAGTAACCTTTCAGCTCAGAACTGGCAGCACATGTTGATAAAAACAACTTTACCTTAACTAAAACCTTCCCTTTCAGGATCTCAGGGGAGGGCAGCTTCTTGCATTCATGTACGTTGACAGTAGACAGATCTAGTTTGTCTTGTAGCACCTCTCTCAGATATTCAGCCATCTTCTTCTGCTGAGGCACTGTGCAGTGGTTCTCTATGGACAAGATCACTGGGTACCTGTGGAGAAGTGCTAATACATGAGCCACTGGGCCAGCATGACGCACAAGTGTGATGCTTGTTGTGAAAGCCTGACAAAACACATCAGTATCAGGACCCAGAAGCACTTACTGTGATTTTGTGAAGGCATATTTGTTAATCGTTTCAACAACTTCTTTGAAGAGAATTTTAGAAGTCAAGGTGTAGCCATGGTGAATAATGGGCTCCCCATCAGGCCCATCCCAGCAGTCCACTGAGAGATGACGAAGGAAGAACAAAAGAGGAAAAGTGAGTGAGTCACATTGTCTGTAATATCATGAAATCACAGTGAAGGTGGCCTGAGTTCTGGTTTTGCAGGCTCTTACCCTCCACACAGCGACAACCTGCCTGGAGAACATAGGCGTACATTTCCACTCTAGACTGAGAGAGCAGCTGGTCTCCTGTCAGGTAGGTGTTATGCGAGGTGGCAATAAAGTAGTTACTCAAAGGTTGCGTCATGTCCTGGTTCACCTGATTGTGCTCGGGATTGAAGATATCACCTGCAGGGCTCCTCATGAAGTTGGTGAAACCTGAAGGGAGAAAGTGTCAGAACAGGTGTGTTATTTGTATGTTGATGTCATGTCTGGTCTGAGTGATATATGTAATGTTATTGATTGCATTTTTAAGTACGTTACCCTTACCATCAATACCCAGTACCATATGCTGCAGGTTCTTGGGACATGGCTCAAATTTGGCCACTATGTCAACTAGATGCTCTTTGACCAGACCTCGCATCTGCAAATAAAACAATATCAGGAATGTCATTTTTGGTGTAACTGTCCTAATATTTCACACATACGTTTCACTGTAGCGTGTCACTTTTATTCCACTATTTGTCTTATTCAAACTTATTTTATCTTATTTTTTTCTTTTAAAATCCTGTTAAACAGAGAGGCTGATATGAATTAGATAAACCTACAAACAGTAATGCTGGATTATATGCATGCATTGTTTCCTGTGAATCCCTTGTGCACATGTGAATACAGTTTGAATGCTGTGCAGGAATGGAGGAATTCACTGCCAATTAAAACTACTATAAAGTGAGTTAATTACAGACTGAATAGCTATTGTTGAAAAATGCTGACCATGAATTGTGTCCAAATGGAGTTTGATTTAATGAAAATCTTAAGTATAATAACTTACACACACCAACATGATAAATTAATCTTTTTACATTTTTTTTGTACCTTCTGTTCATTTTCCAGAAAGCGTGCAAGGTCATGAAGATCCATGACTTCTTTCTGATTGCTGTAGGAGATCATTATCAGGTAGAGGTCTCTGCGTGTCGAAATCATCTTGTAGAACGAACAGAATTCTTCAAAGCCCAGAGAGCCCTGGTTCTCGTCTGTGTCTGCATCCTACAGATAACGACAAAAGTATTTTATGAGAAAGAAATAACTCAGTGTGTGCGATTTGAGATAACTAACCCGCCAAAGGAAGTATATACCACCATAGACCCATCTGAAGGACATATCTCTATCCCCATCAAACATGATGGAGCTCGTCCACAGAGACTATTGTTATCAGGAAGGGAGGACAGTGAGTTACTGAACTAAAGCAATATTGCAGTGCAACTAAAGCCATCTGTTCAGCGGTGGCCATATGGTCTTCCTGTGCCACTCTCCTGCACTGCCCTGCCAAAATACCGTATATACATATTTGTCTGCTGGCTCCAAGCTTTTGTCTTACTGCTTCACTGACTGAAATGATGTGATGATCCACGTCAAGGATATTGCGCCTTTGACCACTTTTCTTTTATCCTTTTCAGACTAATTTTAAGTTGCCAGTTTGAAGCATTAAGACATAATTGATGCTTTCAGTGTTTTTCTGGTTTAGAGGCATTTTGTGCCAGATAGCTACAAACCTATTTATTTAATTTTAGCCATGCTGGCAGTCCTCCACTTTGGTCCAGACTGAAATATCTCAACAAGAACTGCCATGATTTTGTACAGACATTCAAGGTGCCCAGAGGATGAATCCTACTGACTTTGGTGATCTTCTGAGTTTACCTCTGACACCACCATGAAGATGACTCAGAAGATGTCTCAACAACTTTTAGATGGATATTATGTCTCCCTGAGCATTAATTGTCAATAACTTTGGTGACAACATTTCCAGTTTGGATGTATTACTGATAGATTACTGAATAATGAATGAGTACAGCAGTAGCTTGCATAATTAACCTTTTGTGGATTTAAGTCTTACTTGAAACATCTGCCTGACTTTCTGTTTGGGTAAATTCACGTTGAGTTTGTGGAGCAGCTGGTGAACCTCTCCCATGCTCAAGGTGCCATCTCCGTTTTTGTCGGCCTCAGAGAAAGTCTGCTGTAACCATGTGAGGCTGCAGTTAAGGAAGAAACTACAAGGATCATGATCCAGTAACTTCATGTGTGTTGATGTCAGATTATTCTTAACTTCTTGTACAAATTAATGTGTAGCTAGTCCATTAAGTTTTAAATGTGTTGTATTAAACATGTGTATGAGAGGCTGCATAAAGGATATTGATCACGGGTGCGCTGCCTCCGGGCCAAACTGTCTTCATCACTGATACCAGCCATGAGGTATTTCAGTCCGGTGACCCAGGTGCGGGCCTCCTCGGCATTGGTGGAGACCAGGTCCAGGGACTTCACACGCTCTCCGTAGTAAATACTGAAGCAGCAGTTTGGGTCGAAGCGGTTGTCTGCGTACCGCCTGAATATCTCTGACTTTTTCCCCTCACAGACTTCATGGATGGAATCAATAGTTACTGAAACAGATGATCAAGAAATTTACTGGGGGTCATTCAGAGCTATCCATAATTTTAGATTAAGTGTTTGTGACTGGACCAGTGATACATTCCATTTATCTGCCCCTGAATATGGATGTACGGCATATTTTCACTAAAGTATGTAACATTCTTGGTGTAAATGAGAAAAACAACAAACATTTGATCAAATCAAAGTAACTTTTGCTCAATTGTCAATCCACGTCACCAACCTTTCGGACTCTACAGGGGTCAAAGGTGAACATTTATAATGTGTAATTTACAAAAACATCATAACCACTAGATAACACAACTATTTAGTCAACAGCCTGTTCCCCTGTTAAGCATAATGGAACCAAACTTAGACACAGTGTGATAGATCATCTTGATCAATGAGCTATTGACATGACTGATAACAAGATACACCAATAGGTTTGAGTGCAAGCCTCACTTAAACAGTTGTCCCACAGAGAGAAGAAAAAGTTCTGTTCATTATTAATTATGGTTATTGGTTATACAGTAGTTACTGGTTATACAGTAGTTACTCTATTGTGATCAGTGCTGATAAATAAAATTCAGAGCGGTGATGGCTCACTTTTGGCCTTGTCATGTTTCCTGGATGGCCGCCATCGGATGCAGGACTTGTGCTCGTCCAGGTAAAAGAATCGGACCAATCCTTTCTTCTTCCCCTTCAGTTTAGTCATCTGAGTGCCAGCCTGCATGGTGCACATACACCTCTCCACTGCAGAAGAGCACAAGGAGACACCTAATTTATCACGAGCCAAGTGACTGTCCTTCTCTATATGTCACAGGGATCATCACATTTATTTACTGCCAACATCAGAGAGAGAGCTTCTGCATATCACGTGTTCAGTCGAATGTAGCATGTTTGGTTATGATTATTATTGCTAAATTCTGCTAAGATAATTTGTATGCAGTACATGTGTTGTGTACTGGAAGCCATTATAACAACACCACCAATGGATTCGCTGAAGCAGCTGAGACAAGTAGTGGTTTACCACCAAGCACTTGTTTATGAGATTATAGGCTGCGTCACACAGGGATTTAAGTAGCTGTAAATGATGTGTTAATGATAAGAGGGAAAAGAAGAAAAAGATACACAATCACAAAATGATCTCTGTCTAACAAACAAATGATCAGTGATGTGACTTGTTTCTGCTGACTTTTCTTGGCTGACATTTCTTTAAAAATAAATAGCATGTGCATATTGATTGACTTAAAATTGAGTGTCACATCCAACTATTTACTTGTAACATTCAAGTCACGGTGAAGTAATGTGATTGTTTTGTGTGCTGTGAGCAGGTAACCTTTGTTTGTAATCTGAAGCTCAGATACATGTGACGCAACCTGGCACATCATTCAGGCTAATCCTAAAGGATTGTCTACTGTCCATATGCCCATTATCTACTCACAGGCTTCCCTGCAACTCTACTCTGGTCTGTTGGAAACTCACATTTTAGAGGCAAGAAAACATAATGGTTAGGCTTTTAAATTCACATATCCTGGGTTTAAAATATCATTAATGTCATATGTGTCCAGTGAGGATAAATGATTTTAAAATAATTTAGTTTGCAGCAGCCTGTAGGCCCTTCTGCTCAACAACCTGTTGATATACTGCAGTAATTTGAGTGTCTGAAAGCAATATCATTTAACAAGCCATTAGTGAATCTTACCTATCTGACCCAGTCTCCATTTTGGCTGGGCAACCACGCTGCCACCAATCCAGAAAAACTCCTCTGCCAGTCTGGAGATGGATGCTTTCTGCCAGAGTTTTGGGGAGCTCATAATGGACGGGCTGGGAGAATTCAATGGACTCGAAGCCTGTTTTGCCTGATGAAAGGAGCCCTTAGCAAGCGAGGGCGAGAACCTTCCTGCTGACAAAGATCCCAATGATTGAAAGGTGGCCTTCTTGGGTGACATCGAGGACAGTGGTGGGCTGCCACTCAGCCCCGGAGACAGAGGTGCCATCGCTGGGGTGCTGTTCATCCCTGAACTGTGCATTTGAGTCCAGCTCTCCTGTCCCATTCACACCACATGAACCCTACCTCCCCCTCACTCTGCTGGTCTCTTCAGCAAAGTTTGTTTATAGCACAGCTTCTCTCATGCAGAAGTGTCAGCATATCCTCTTCTTCCAGTTAAAGTCTTCCCACATGGGACAAGGGAACAATATTCCCATCCTGAAGGCTCATTCCTGGTCATACTGTGTCCAGTGATCCACTGTAGTAGCCACGGGTTCTACTGTATATATATTTTTGCACTGAGAGAGGACTCAGAGAAAGAGTTTGCAACATGTGTCAGTCACTAAATCTTCCTCAAGCTGTAATCCTGAAGCGAGGCTTCAGCCTTGCTTTCATGGAGGGATTTCCACGCAACCAGTAAGCCTCTAAAGAAAGAGAGTGGGATAGGAAGGAAGGGTGCAACTATTCATTTAACTACTCTTATGGCAGCCCTAATCATCAAAGAATATAGAAATTGCAGTAAATTAAAATAGACTGCTTTAAGGATAGACATGATCATATATTAAGGTTATAGTTAAAGTGATGCATTAAAAAGCTAGAAGTGTCCACCCTTTAACTGTGAGCAATGATTTCCCCCTAGAGGCAACTGTGCGACATTCAATAAATGTATACATATGTTTATCATGTTACAATATTAGAGCCACTAATATTTATAATACATATGGGAAGAGTTACTCGAAAGACAGATGCAGACTTCAAGCTTTGGATTTTACTGTAAAATGGTGATTTTTTTATTTTTTTATTTGTGCCTGCACAGAGAAGACTTCCTCATTCTTCTGAATGTCTTGTTGCAGTGTGCAGGACAACACTTTGAATCAGTCTGGTTATAGGACATAATTCCCAGCAGCTCCATTTAATTTCAACCTGCATGAGCAGAGATCTAATCAGCCAGTATAAGTAAAAACACCTGTGTGGAGCCTATAAAACACTCATCTGGAAAAGGTAGCAGTGTTACTAAACAACAACTAATAAATACCAGGTGTGCCTGGCTGACTGCTCAGTTGAAATGTGGCTAACATTACAACTTTGAATTGTTTGTAAGACAGGCCTTTTTCACAGCAAACATTATGTTTCATTACAGTGTAAATAAATATATAATTCATTTTGGTTGAAACCATCCATTTAGCTGCTTCGGCTGCAGGATCACGCTGGCTCACTGTCACACTGTGATACAATGGCTTACTGGGACACTTACAATACAATATTTTGATGCTATTAGTGACACCTGTGCTTTTCCTACTATGACATAATATCTGCTGTGATCATATAAATAAATTCACTTCCAGCTGTTGTCTTTGTATTATATCCCCTATGAAATCATTCAGTATAGGCCTATGTGTTTTTTTCTAAAATGATGAATATGCTAGATGAATACACTGTTTTTCATACAACATATTAACTTGTATTTTCCACAATAGTAGCCACACAATTTGAGGGTGTTCTGTCTATCTGTTAGGATAACAGGATGCAGCCATTTTAGCAGCACAGTGGTGCTTTGAGCTAAATGCTAACATCAGCATGGTAACACTCAGGATGCTAACATGCTCATGTTTAGCAAATACAACACTTTTTAGGTCATCCTCTTAGTTCAGTGTGTTAGCATGCTAATGTTTGTTAAAAAGCACTAAACACTGCACTAGCTGGGGCTGAATGTGATTAGTTTAGCAAGTATTTGGTCATAAACCGAATTAATGGACTTAATGTTTACCTGATGGAAAGTCAGCGGATCCCCAAACTTATTAGGATTTATTGTGTTGGAACCATGAATGTTTCATGGCTATCCATACAACAGTTTCCATTGTGGTAAAAAATAAGAAAGAAAAAAAAACACGTCTTAGAACCGTAGGATTGATTTAGATTTTAATGGGTATTATACAAGTTTTCCGAAGGAAAAGAAAACATTGAAACAGGAGGCAAGTGAATCCCCACTTCCAAACCAAAACTACAACAGCATCAGCTAACAAAATGGATATTGCTATTACACTGTACCCAACAAAATACTGAGCAAGGGTATCATAATGATAAGACATAAAAGTGTTTATTGTCTAAAATATACGAGAGCACCTAAGGTTGAAACCACAGGAAGGTGTTGCTTCTATTCTATCTGGCGAGGGAGCTGGATGCAGAGATTTCAAATCCAATTTTTAGTTTTTGGTCTGTGGTGTAATATATACTCTATATTTAATCAAATAATAAAGATCTTCTCAAATAAACAAAATCAAAGGACAAATTATAATATTCTGTTGGTGTGTCAAACCTAGAAAAACTACTGAAAGGTCAAGTTCATGACCATTGATGGTTTCATTCTCCTCGTTTAAACCAACAAGTCAATGGTCCATCCATTCTGCTAAATGCCCTGTGATTGCAATGATACTCAGGGATACAACTATGAAATTGCAGTTTTGCAAATCCAAATATAGTCTCTTTTTGGTTTCAAGTAAGAGCAAAAAATAATATTCATAATCAATTTAAGTCTGGAGCAAGCAAACATACCAACAAATATCTTATTTACAATATCATTGTATTTACATCAGAGGATACTGAGGGAAAGTGTGTCTAAATTCAAAGTTCATGTTAACTTGTTTTTTTTGGAAAAATGTAACAGGGAGTACAATGCACAATGCAAGGTGTTTTTCTTTTAAAAAGTGCAATTCCTTTTCTTAAAGTAAAAAAATATATATCCATATTTTGTATATATGTAGAAATGTTGTTCATATAAACAGCATTTGTTGATTTAAGAGCCCTAAAACCAGTGACTAAAAATGAATGCTTTCTTTTGATAGGCAGCAAATTATCATAGAATATAAATTATTTTACAATACTCAATAGAAAATCAGAAGTACCGCGTTTCAACAAAAACAGACAGCTATCGAAGTTTTTTTTTTTTCTTTTAGGAGGGCATTTGTAGACTTATCTGCACTAACGTGGGCAAGAATATTTATCACATGGTTTGGTTGCAGAAACATTCCTGGAAAAACAATGTTCAAACAACAAATAAAGTTGCATCATAATATTAAAAAGTAACACTTCCATAAAATATCTAAGCATAAAACAGTGGTGGACCTGAAGGCAGCCCACCTGTAACCTCCAATACTTCAGGTTTATAAAATACAAAAGGTAGACAAGCTGGTATACATGCGTACATGTTTGTATATGGATGTTTTTTTCTTGCCTGAAGCAATAATTTCTTAAAAAGTACATCCTCTACACAGTTATAAAAAGCAAGCTGATATTAAAAGTAAATAGTGGTAAACTGGTGTCTCTTGTTTCCAGTGGTCTGCAATGACACCGATGAGTGTACCAATATTTTGTGGCACCAAGAGTTTCATCATCTGCTCATGTTTCACCAGGCGCAACATGTATCTTCCCTTCATATTCAAGTAGTGTTATGTGGCTATATTTGCACATCTTAGAATAGCTTATACCAAAATAAAATCCTTGGACAGCGTCAGGTGTCTAACCGAGGGCTCTGACGTCACTGGAGAGATGTGTTCAGTCTTTCTTAATTTCACGCTCTACAACATGCTCAGACATCATGCTACTTTCCAGTTCATTTCATAAAAATTCATATATTGTCATAATAATATTGATTTATATCATATCATATTATATATGACAGATTTTTCCTCTACAAAACTGACTTAGCATTTTGCTGAGTTTCTTTTCCCTAACAGGAGGTGCAACAAAGTCCTTAACCATGCTCCTTTTTATCGAGTCTTTTTCTCCAGTTTTTGAATGTGCAACTTTAGGATCCATTGGTGTGCTGTGTGGTCTGTCTGTGTGCATCTGTGTTTGCGTCCTTGGAGTCTCCGGGATGGCTGCTGTCGGCCTGCAGAGCCAGCTGGGTTTGCAGATCTTTGACAACGCTCTCCAGACTCTGCCGAGCTTCTCTCTCCTGCTGAAGCTCCTGTCTCAGCTGCTCACGATCAGCTTCTGCCTGCTGTAGCTGCACATGCAGCTCTTCAATCTGCACAACAACACAACCCAACACAGACACACAAATTAGGGACAGGATCAGAAATAACACATAAACAAACAACGTATAGGTGGTTTTGGTGATTATGGGCGTCTTGCAGACATCTTACCTGAGTGGAGTACTTGACCCGGAGACGTTCGGCCTCACAGCCTTTGTCACAGACTCGCAGCTGTCTCTCCCTCTCCAACTCTCTCTTCAGCCGCCCACAAGACTCCTCCGTGTCCCTCATCTTCCTCTCCCAATCCACACGAAGGCGTTCAATCTCCTTTCGCAGGTTGCGTTTGGCTTCGATGGCCTCACGAAGACGGCCTTTCTTTGCCACCCTCACAAACTCCAGTTCCTGTATAAATATAATTGCCATCTTTAAAACACTAATATGCATTCAGAGATAACTGTCATTTCACTATTATCACAATATATTTCACAAGCACAGGACATGACTATGTACCTGCTGAAGGCTGCGTTTAGCTTGCACAGCAGCTGCCAGCTTTTCCTCCTGCTTCACTCTCATCCTGACAATCTCCTGCAGGACTTTTTCTCTGGCCTCTTTGGTGTCCATGCCTCCATACAGCATCTGTCTCAGTGTGTCCAGCTCTGGGCTAACAGTGCCTGACAGCCAGGTGGGTCCTTCCTGAGGTCGAGCAACACTCTGAGGAGTCAGAGTCTGAGACACGCTGGTGCAGGCTGACGGAGGTGAAGCCAGGGAGGAAGCTGGCAGTGGACCTGAGGGAGAGAAAGATTTAACATTATTAGGACAGCAATTGCAAGAATGCTCTTGTGTTAATTCTCAATAATCACGACTGATTTTAAATTGGATTGGATATTTAACTATAGCTGTGGCTATTTAAGCAGTTGACCCTTTAGTTTTAGCTAACTATTGCAATGGTTTATCCATGACTTTCAATCAGATGTATGACGAGTTTATTCATTATTTTTTTTATCTATTTTGACTGTTCATCTGTTACTTTTATCTATCTGCTGTTTTTTAACAA